TATCCTGCAAGGGTAGACATAGTTCATTTAATGGTAGAATAGCGGTAGGGTTTTCTCACTTTCCAGCGGAGAAAAATGAAATAATTTCAAAAATGACCGATTTTTGAACCTGCCGAGATGCCAGAAAAAAGTGAGTGTTTTCGACTTTTTCGCGATATTTTCTTTCAAAAATTTTCCTTTAAATCCAAACTTGGCATTACTGCTCAAGAGACCTTTGGCTACAAGAAGAGCAAAGTATGCTTTATCCTACTTCATTTCAACATAAGTTATGCTCTCTCAAAGTGGAGGCTTCTGAAAAAAGTTGTTTATTTATTTATTTATTTATTTTGTACGCTCGTAGGCGTGCTGTATGTCGAACAGGGAAAAGGTAATTACAAGACAAACATCAATCACAGAGAATAAAAAGAAGTTTAAATATAGTTTATGTACACATAAATAGATATGCTAGAAAGGGACTTTAGAAAACATATTTCCGAGTAGCGATCCCGTTAAGAATTTTTGCAGTAACAATCCATACTAGTCCGCCAACGGAAATTACCATAACAAGGCAGCGCGAGCACCCCGAGGGCCCGACAAACGGTTGCACCGGCAGCCCCCGCCAGCACAACCAAACGGGTGCGCTGGCAGGGGGCCGCCAGTACACCCGCTCGTCAAACCTTCAGCGTGCACGCACCACCCAGCCATGACCCCCGCCGGTGAAGAAGAGCAGATTGATGAGTCGGGTAAGGAAATTCAACAAATTAATCGTTACTCGGATATGCCTTCTAGAGCCCGCTAGTTCAACTGGAATGAAAAGCACATGAGTGAATTTGAATTGAAGAGGTAACATGGAAAGACAAATCGATTGTTACACTTAATCAATCTTTGAAACTAAGGAGAAAGCAAACATGGGTAGGAGTGATGCACAAGCAGCCAAAGAAAAAAGAAAATCTGAGTTACTATTCAACATCTGGAATTTGTAGTAAATCAAGAACATCAACTCTGGAAATAGCTTTTTTGAACTGGAACGAATTTTTGAGAGCTAATAAAGGGGGTGGTAGACATTCGAGCCATTTGGCAGTCCTTGAGATAAAAGTATTCAGTTGGCGAGTACGATTCGAAGTAGGTAGCTTGGAAAATCGAAAAGCGATAGAACCATGACGACCATAGACAGGGCGAAAAGTCCAAAATTTGGAAGGCTTCAAACGCAGTTCTCCTCTAAGTATCTTGAATGCTAAAATCAAATCTTTTGAATTCTTCTATAATACAGACTTTTGAGATTTAGTTTTTCCAGACGGTTTTTGTAGGAAGGCAAAGTTTGAGGATAATGAGAATCTGGAATTGCACGGTAGTATAAAACTCTAGTGAATACCCTCTGGACGTTTTCAATTTTATTGATTTCCTTTTTGCGAAAAGGGTTCCAGACGGGGCTACAGTATTCAGCTAGTGGAAGTATAAACATTTTGTATAGTTTGACCCAAAGAGTTACATCAGAGCTGTAAACGTTTCTAAAAAGACAGTACAATAACCTTAGACTTTTCTCAACTAGAGTCTCAACATGATTTTCGAATCTAAGTCCATTGGTGATTAGTACTCCGAGGTCACGCACTCTATTGACAACAGTCATAGATCGTAGTTCATCGTCATAGATACTCAAAGAATTAGGTCCTATTGGGAACAGGCAGCTTTTTCTAAAATTCACTTTGAGGTGCCAAAGCTTAGTCCATTCAAACATTTTTTCAACAGACTTATTTAGAGCTGTTTGGACCTCTTCTTTCTCATTTTCATTATAGATTGCTGTTACTTTAATGTCGTCAGCATAAGCATGCACAAAAATTCTTGTATCCGTTTTCAAGAAGACAGGCAAATCATACGTATAAATGAGAAAAAGAATAGGAGAGAGTACACCCCCTTGAGGTACACTTGAAGGGCATTCTCTGGGAAAGGAAAAGTCCTAAGAAAAGCGTACTGCTATCCTTCTATCTTGCAGATAAGATCGGAACCAGTCAAGCAAATTACCTTCTATGCCTATGCTATGCAGTCTTGCTAGTAGATTTTTATGGCAGACGCTAACAAAAGCTTTACTGAGGTCGAAGTATACCACATCTACTGCTTTACCTTGGCTTAGTGCATCATTCCAAAGATGCGTGCAATCTATTAGCTGAGAACAGGTTGATGAACCTGATAGGAAGCCAAACTGCTCATCAGGGATGATCTTAATATTTTCAATCCAATCAAGTAGATATTTTTTCATAATTTTTTCTAGAACTTTCAAGGGTGTTGGAAGAATGCTGATAGGACGATGATTTGAGATTTGATCACTAGCTTTTCCTTTTGGAATGAGAGTGATTACTGCAGCTTTCCAAGCAAGAGGAATTTGACCTGTCATCAGAGAGATGTTGAAAATGTGTGTGTAAGAGGCGATGAAAGATGTTTTGCAAAGAGTTTATAAAACATCTGTGGTATTCCTTCAGACGTAACAGATTGTGATGGTTTCAGTTTTTTGAGAGATTTGTAGACCATATCACATGTGATTATTGGTAGTTCAAGCTTCTGTTTAGTAATTTTTGGCAAGTTTACAAGTGATTCGTCACAATAATTAGTGAACGTGCTCTGGAAAAAATTTGCGAAGGCTTCTGCTTTCTCAAAACCTGTGCTATATTTTGATCCATCATCCGCAACAAGCACTGGTAGAGCAGGTGAACTTTTAGTTCTGTATTTGATAAAAGATATTATTTCCTTCATATGTTTACTGCTCGCCGACTTATTGACCTTGTAAGACATATATTTATTCAAATGGTGATCAAGTTTTTGGGTGATATCTGCGTATCGTGGATTGTGCATAGGATCAGGAGTGTTGTTGAAAAGTCGTTGTCGTTGTTCAAAAAGGTTGCGGATATGGGTCGGATATTTGAAAAAACTAAGCTATTCGGCGTTTTTGAGGGGAACATACTGCTTGATAATATTATGCATGATGTAAAGAAAGCGACTATAAACGTCATCAATATCGCTAAAGTTTCCGAAAATCTCAAACCAGTTCAAAGAGGACAACAAACATTTGATTTCATCGACTTTGGCATGCTTAAAGTCGAAAGAGTGAATGGTTTGGGTGTCTTGGTTAGGTACTGCAATGGAGAAACCCACAATATTATGGTCAGAAATACTAAGCGGGGGAGAAGCAAAAAAATCTTTGACAATTTCAGCATTCGATAATACTAGGTCTAGTATATGTTCACCTCTAGTGGGGAAATTAACCCATTGAGTCATGGATAAAGCATCAAATGTTGTCAGGTATTTCTCCCCAATGTAATTAGATCCGGTTTTATGAATCCAGTCAATAGGGAGGTTCAGATCTCCGACTATTACAGTCTTGATTTTTTGAGAGGAAACAAGGTCAGAAATCAAAGTCAGAATAAGCTCGTCCTGCTTACCACCGACCCGTGGTGGTCGATAGATCAAAATGAATCTGATTCTATCAGCACAGGTCTGTAAGATAACATCAAAACAAAGAACGTCCGCTTCTCCCTTCATTTTGAAAGTAACTTCCTCAAAAAGAATGCTGCTATGGATAAGCGCACAGACTCCTCCACCTTTTTTACTTTTGCGGTCTTTTCTAAGCAAAATATAAGGAAGATTACCGCAGATTTCACCATTAGTTATGTGCGAATTCAACCAAGTTTCGGAATATCGGCAGCTTTGACAATCTCTCCTTTATATACAACAAAAATTTGTTTACCTTCTTTTTGATTCATTTCACGTGCGGTTAAGCGCAGATCTCTATCACGCGCTCTTTCTTCTGCAGTCATCGATTTTCGGATATAAACATTTTTATATGGCGTAATATTTCTGAGGCGACGAGATTTTGAAAGCATTTCTGTGCATAAATACTTGCTGGAAAAAACACATTTGACTAATCTTGGTTTACCTTCCTTCGCCCTCCCCATTCTGAAAACTTCTGCTGGCCGCGCTTCAACATCCAAATCATTGAGCATACCGAGTATGAATTTCTCAGTATGTTCCTGCCTCGACACTGCGGGCAAAGCGGAGTCAGCTTCAGGCACGCCGAAGATGACTACAGATCGTTCACGCTTTTCTTTCTCAACTTTTCTTGTTGGCAATCTTCAGGCCAGAAAATCTTTCTTGTGATAGATACAGTCACGCAAAAGTATCTGTTCTATAGCCATCGATTTGGTGGTTACAGTAGTTTTTATTGCGCCCGGATATGTCTTTTCAAGAAAGAATTATCTCGGTTGAAAGTTGAAGTATAGAAAACATTAGCATTAATTATGAATCAACCTAATATTTAATATTTGGATATTCTACATTTTTTGTTTCCCGAAAATATTCGAAATTCGATTACTCGACATTTTTGATTTTCGAATCGTCATTCGATTATTCGAAAGAAATTTTAAATGTTCCAAAGTATAGTTCGGAGCATGAATATCAAAGAGTTCACATAAGTTTCGGATTTTTTTTTGATTTAGATGACTAGAACGCTCAGAAAATTATCACGTAGTGAACAGAGCAAATCAAACCATTGTCTCTTCTTATTTTTTGAAAATTAGCATAAGCCTACGCACTGATAGGTATCGCGCTCCAATCACATGCCGTCCTTTGAACTGTGTGGCGAAAATGCATCGCCAAACTGCTAAAGCTATAGATTTGGTTGGTCTATGAGTTTTTCGACACACTGAGCACTAAATGGCACCATACTCATTACTACAGTCAGTAATCAACTCAAAGATGTTTTTTAGCTTTTTTGTTATAATAGATGCCTCAAAGTGCGTTTGTTCGCTTTTTATTGTTAGCTGATTGAAAAAAGGTTTTTCTACTAGTTTTGACGTCAAAGGAGACTTTTGGATTTTGTCAAGCCATGGACTTTGCTACCAAAAATGTTCCTAACAAACGCGTGCCGAGCGATACCAAGCATGTGGAAAATTCGCTTTGATAGTGTGAAGACTTATGGCAACTACGGTGATATGGAGGCCACATGACATCATGCATGACATCTCGCTGGGGAAGGCAGCTCCAAAAATGCTTTCTTTTGGAGTTCCATTGTTCTGGATTTTGCGCGGTCTGACTATTCGTAAGTTTTTAACTACCTTTACCATAAGCATATTCAATAGTAAGTAGCAAGATATTGTACGAGCCGCATTTCCAGGTTTTTGTATAGTCCCCTAATGATGCCCGGCGGCCGACTGTTTTTTCTTAACAATCATTTTTTCTTTCTTTGAAGTTAACAAATAAATGAAGTTGTACTGATACTTAACTCAGCAGTGCTAAATATATTAGATTCTAAAAGCTGCGATGAACCTGGGTCGAAAGTTGAGATGTATCGAAAATCTCAGTTTTCAATAATTCATTTGTTCTTATCAGAAGTATGCTTGATACTGCTAGATTAGATAATCAGTACACTATATAATGCTTCCACTGATTTGTGAGAAAAAAATGACTTTGAAACAAAGACAGTCGGCTGCCGCAAATCATTGAAGTATCACATAAAAAACTGGGAAGGTAGTTTGTACAATTCCTCGCTACTGTTCAGTCTGTCTATAGCAGAGCCCCCACTATGGTCCGCCGGCTCATCGTGACGTGGAGGTGGTCCTGGGTGTCGGACTGCAGTGCACAGCCAAGTATATGTATACTATAGTATCTAGTAAGGTCCCCCAACTTGAGAAAGATCGACATTTCCGGTTTCCGCTGGATGGCCAGCTAAGAGCGGACCCGGGCAGAGTCTCCGCCGTCTGGCTTTCTGAACGCTAGGCGGTTACATTACACACTCCATATTTGGGGTTAGCGATAGCCCCGTGAAAACCAAAGGTTGGCTTAGTGAATTAGTTCATGTAGGGGAAATTTTTAATCATTCTACTAACTAGAAGAAGAAGAAGAAACCCTGAACACCGGGCCCCTACCTACGGCGCCGGGTGATATCAAGAACAATGTCATTGTCTCGCCTTTTGATTCGGGCAAAAACGACACGTCTGCCCGGACCACACGCCATGGAGACTGCTTCATGCTCTGCACCTATAGCGTCAGGACACTCTTCACAAACGCCGACCACCACGCTCTTCTCATGCCGCAGAGCGCATCAAATACCAAGTCATCGCTCTGCAGGAAAGACGGGAAGGAGGACGTGCACAAACGAGCGATTGGACTCTCATTTTCGTGGTGAGAAGGTCTCATCAAAAAACGGCGTTTAAAGCGTTGGCTTTGTCGTCCATCTTGTCGATTCACATAAGTTCCTATCACTTCAACTGCCATTCTACGACTACGCTATGACCTACGTCAAAAGACTATCAGCATCATTAACTGCTACTCGCTAACATCAGCAGCTGAACATCTTTCAAACCTTTTTACGTAACTCTTGGGCGAATAATTTTCGGCGAATCATTTTCTGTGTATACAATTCCATTTGATTTGATATGATTCTGTGTGCGCTGTAAATGAGCTATTCGTTTATTATTGCCTTGCTTTCAAATCGCGCGCGCTTTTCGTCATACATGATAGAGCGTATGAATCGTGCAATAACCTGTCCGATGCTCGGTCACGACTCTGCAATCCCCTTTGCTTGTTGCTCCAAAAATGAAGTCCAGCTTGCTTCCAGACTATCTGTACCGGGCCGTGGTTGAGAATTGTGAGACTTTAGTGCTATGCGGAAGGGGGCCCCTCAGACAGGCAACGCGCAAGTGCGAGGCCATAACGTTCTATGTATGAATCTGCGTTAGAATCCGCATGCTTGCACGGTTAAAATCATAGGGTCCCGCAGCGATTCTGCGTCTTAGCCTGAGCGGGAACTGTGAAACTTCAAGTTGCAAAGCTTTGAAAAACACACGTTCTCGCCGTTTTCGCGTTTTCTAATGTGCATTTTCGAATTCACCGTTGCAGATACTCCAGCTAAGTGAATTTGCTAGAAATCGAGTTCTTTCCGAGACACTGCCTTCAATGCATGGCCCATGGAATCACCCGAGCGATCTTGGCTATGACAGTCACGCTCCTTGGAAGGCTGCCGTCTCCTATTTAGGATCTATCCTACCGTCTAATATTTATTGCTATAGAAGGAGCAAGGGATCTTACCGCCTCACGTTTGAGGCAGAATCCGGGTGATGACTATACTTGGGACCGAATCGAATGATTAATCGATCGTTCGAATAAATCATTCGATTGCGAATGATTCGAAAAGTCGAATATTCGAAAATCTTAGATTTCGAATAAAATTCGAAAGTCGAATATTCGAATTTCTCAGTTTTCGAATATATTCGATATTTGAATATTCGAAAATATCAACTTTCGAATATTAGTCGAAAGTCGAATATTCGATGTTCATCAATTCGATTATTCGATGTTCATTGAATATTCGAATAATCGATGAGCATCGAATATTCGAAAATTCGATGAGCACTGACCACGCAAAAATTCGAGCATCACTTGAGAAATCGATATCCATAGCGTATACAGAGTGTCTCAAAAGTATCTACACACTTTTTGATCGCTAATAGCTTTCTTCAACGACTTTTGCCAATCTTTGGGGTGCCATTCGGTAGATCTCGCTCCGGCTTACATCTGCAAGAAAAGCTTGGATCACCCTTAGCTCTTTTAGCTGTTATTGCGGGATTACGGTAAGAACCTATACCACATAGAGCCACTATGGAATTAGCCGTTTTAGGACTTCCTAAAAAATCAAAAAATTTGGCTAGCAGCGTTTTTAGTAAGTTGATTTCATTACTCAACTTTTACGAATTTCTAGCTATTTTGATGTGTCACATTTTGAGAAACACTGAAAAAATTTGCTACGCCGTATCTGACATAACTTACAAAGCGTTACAGCTGGGTGCAAATTTTGGAGTGGCGGTCAAGAATCGATAGCTCCGCCAACCGCTAGCTGCCAAGTGCTCGCGCGCGCAGAAAAGCCGCCCATACTCAACCCATGAAGTTAAGAAAAATGATGAATTCAGGTCTTTTCATTGAAGTTCGTTTCCTACATCTATAGTAGAAGCTTACATGTATCACACGCTAAACTAAGCTCAAACCACATCTATTGCATGTTTATAGCGATATGATTGCTGATTATTTCCATCTTTAGAAAATAGCGGAACCTTCAGCATAAAACATAAATAAAGAATAACAATGCTTCGAGCATTTACTTCTACAAAATGCAGTGCTTGCGTGAGCTTGTAAGCTGCTGGGACGGTGCTACCTGTACATCATTCAATGATACCCGGGCATTCAGTGTGCCACTATTGCCAGCTATAGTTATTCTTGACATATACCCCAAATTTTGTATTCTCATTTATCTTCTGTGTCCAGAATATACATAAAAAATAGTCACAATCATGAACAGAGAATCAAACAATCTACAAAAAACGATGACATCCTTAATGCGCTGTTCTACTCCCATAGTTCTCAAAGGCGCAAATATGTTTCGTCATCTATCATCTCGATGTTGTCTTCGGCAGCCTCGACCAAAGCTTTTCTTTTCTGCCTATTACTCGGGCTCCGCGTATTGTCATTCTCCTTGTATTTCGACGCTGGGACATCCCTTCATTAATATCCCGGCGCTGCGGGAAGCGCATTAGAATCCATAAAGAATGTTCTAAGAATATTCTAAGTAACTTTGAATAGCCTAAGCGTCGCAATATTCTAAGTAACTTTGAATAGCCTAAGCGTCGCTTCTGGTTTTTTTGTTTCCTTCGCAAGCAAAATGTGGCCGCCAAAATCCCGAAATTCTCCTCAGTTTAGCTAAGACAATCTTACAGCAGTGAAGTGCGATTAATGAATTGATTCATACTTATTTAAGTTGAAGCAGAACTACAGAATAGTAACTAATTTCGGCGAAAGATGTGGGAGGAAATTTAATGATCAAATATTGTCCATATACTTTTGGGGCATCCTGTATATCGATTCACAACTCTTAATGAGAATATATAAACTTCTTTAAAGTTCGAAAAATCTTCACTACATCACAAAGGAGTACGCTTTTAGTTTTTTGAGTTTAATCACGTCACCACTAAACCGTTCCTTCATCGTAAATTGTGACATAAAAAAGTACCTCTTTTTGATACTTACACGAACTAATTAATTCTTAGATGTTTTGTCTTTCATAGGCACTCTGACTGACATTATTCAAATAGTATTCGAAAATCGAATGATATTCGAAAATCGAATAATTTTTGAGAAACGAATAATATTCGAAATTCGAATAACGAATCATATTCGATATTCGAATATTATTCGATTCGAAGATCTCTATTTCCGAATAATATTCGGTTGTCGAATATTCGAAATTTTCAATTTTCGAATAATATTCGGTAGTCGAATATTCGAAATTTTCAGTTTTCGAATATATTCGATATTCGAATACTCGAAAAAAAATTTTGAATTTCCCCAAGTATAGTGATGACCCCCCTTCACCTGAGGCTGATTTGGGAAAGTAATTTGAGAGTGAATAATGAATCATGATCAAAAAGCTGTTGCAGATTTACCTCGAAACACAACAGAAGTATGTTTATCAAATACAATGAGAATTATTACAGTAGTTGCTTTTTCGCATTATTTCGAAGGCGTCTACAGTAGTTACAGTAGCATAAAAAATTCAACTAAGTTCGAGAAGTAAAAATAGCTTGGAAATAAATGATGTTGATGCTTGTTTGCTAAAGGCCGTCCGCACAGGGCGCGGAGAGTGCGCAAGGTGTGTATTGCGCATCACTCCTCTTCATTCGTGCACTCTCGCTGCCTGTTTTCTCTGCGCCTCCTGCAGTCACGAACTGCCTCGAATGGACGCAACAGCGTTGCTTTCCGAGCACAGCGCGGACGGCCTATAGCACTTTTTTTGAAAAAAATTTTCAACATTATTATTTCCAGGTCGTAGGATTTCCTAAGGCTTGTCACATTTTTGAGATAGACAAACAGATAGACGCATTTGCTTGTAAGAGAAGCTAGAAAAAAACCAACTAAATAAGTAAGTCTATATCTATACCAACTATATAAGTAAGTCTATATCTATGGTCGTCGATGCTCTTTAAATCAAAAATGTCTTGCTAAAGACTGCGAAAACACCTCAGTGTGATAGCAGTAATTACTATTAGTAGTGAATGATTACGTTAGTAGAATTACTTTTTGAGGAAAGAAAGGGATTAAACGCATTTTTTGTCAGTAAAAGTGAATCAGTAGCTCTATCGGTTAGATAAATCCTCATATCTTACTGCCAAGAAGAGAGAGAAAATAGTAGACGGTCCATGTCTTCTCTCCATAACCTCAGCTTTCGAATGGTATATAGCTTGTTGAAGCATTGAGCTTCCCAGCCTCAAAAAAAAACGTTTGCTCCGGTGACCCGTAAAAGCCAATACATTGAAGGAGCCGGATGGAGCAAGCTAATAGTAAATATCTCCACCTCAGTCCTAAGAACTGCCATGTTTTTTAACCCCACATTCTATATACCATTCGAAGGTTTAGGAAACAGAGATTCGACGTATAGACCGTCTACGTTTTCTAGTCTTACTCTATTGAGAAATACGCAGCATTTCAGCTAAAATTATGTTCATTTTTGACAGCAGGTTTTTGCCCAACGATGAACTAGCTACAGCTGAAATCCACCTATATTACAAAGCAGGTCTTCATCAATAAAAATATGGCGTCTACTTTTCCGTAGCTTTCATCGCATTGCGATAAGAGAGCAGAAAGAGAGCAACTGAAACAGTTGATAAACTACCTCGATATTCGATTCTCCGTGATCTCAGCTTTTAAATGGTGTGTAGCTTGTTAGAATATTTTGCTTTCACGGCTCCCTTACCCCCTTCACCCTACAAAGATGGGAGTAGCGGAGACCCCCTTCACCCGGCTCCTATCGCACTTATACTCCTATCTCTCCCCTTCAAAGGTCTTCACGTTCAAAATGCCGAGAAAGTTATTTTTTGATATGCTCAGACGTTTAAGCGCAGCCTTGGACTCACCATATTGGAACACTGATAGAAAAACTTGAAATAGCGTTCTGCCAAGCCACCGCCGTTTATACTCGCTTCGGCTAAATTTGCATGATTAATTCATTACAAATCTCTTTGCAGGTCATTATGCCTCGATTGTCGTGTGCGCATAAGCTCAGCGCCAATAAGAAGTTGCAGCGGGTGGATTCCTTGATAACATTTTTGAAGAGCGCAACAAAGCAGCAGGTTAGAACTTTCATTTCTTTGCATGCATTTCTCAGTCAAATCGTCAATGTCTTTCTAAGATGTCCGCAAAGCTGCACGACATCTGGGCGGCTCCGCAAGCGACTATCACAGAAGCTCGACTTCTCCTGACATTAGGTGGGGAGTTGTAGGTGAGGTGCGACGCTGATGTTTGTTATCTTATATGCATAGCCAGGTGCCAATCCCGAATCTCTCTACAAAGACGATTATGGAAGAAGGACTCTCAGGGACCGCGTCGATAACGGAACAGTTTGTGATAAATGCATATGCAAATACAACGCGTTCTTAGACTACGCTGATATAATACACGAGGAAATGTGTGAGCAGGTACTAGTATTACTGTTACAATGATTGCAATGTTTCAAGCTAATTATATTTGTAGACACCAATCAATATCGTACGAGGCCGCAAATGCACATCTGGTCTGTTGCCTCTATGTCTGGACGGAGGTGGAATGCGTGGGCTCGTCTCTGTAGTTTGTCTTCTTTTCGCTTCGCGACGATTACTTGGCGATGAGACGTTGGTCAACTATTTCGACTGGTTGATAGGCACAAGGTCAATTCATTTCTGGTATACAAAGTATACAACGGAAAAGGAATAGGTCTTCCTTTTCTCCCATTTAAATTACAAATCATTTGACCCGGCAATAATCTACCCCGCTATGGTATCCATGGATGCTGAAGGTTGGTATACCTCACGTTAGGTTGCCAAATCCGCGTTAGCTCCCAGAGTGACAACAGGCAGCTTACCGCAGAACAGTCGCACGCGCGCATTTGCTCTGCGCCTTTGCCATCCACCTCAAGCAATCTAAGTGATCAAACACACTTGTATGCTGCGCATGTCGCAGTCATTGATAAGAAATTGCGCAAGTAAGTCGTGCCTGTTTTTTTTTTGCATGACCAACGCATTTGTCTTGTGAATTTGAAGCTGAAGGAACTGATCGACATAAGCAACAAAGTGCAAAAGACTTGCAAAAACAGAGCTTTAAAGAAGATTCAATATTGCGACAATGCTGACTAGCAATTGTAGAGATGCTCCAAAGATAACAGTACACTATCAAGGGAAAGAACAGTGGCTTCTCACCAAGGAAAATTAGCGGCCGCATTCATCAAAGAACCGCTATTCGCATTCTATGGGTCGCGAAACCGTTGGAGAGAATCACACAAGGACCGTGCTGTGTTCGCTAACCTATTAGCTTTTTAAATTCCAGAATAATCCGAATCTAGCAAGTTGAATCTACTCAGTGGGTTCCGGAATCCACTAGATTCGTTTTTGGATCGGCCGTAGAACAGTATCAGGATTACACCATTTACGTAGTGGTTGCGGTGCAGAAGTGTGCTGCTAGCCGTCATTTTGAAGATAGCACACTATCTGCTTCGTCCTCTATCTTTCCGGCACAAATTTCAACGAAATGGCAGAAGATGTCGCAAATTCTCTCGCAGCAGCTCCTACATTTTTTCTTATTTTTGTCTGGCGGGAGAGGGAATAAAAATTTCAAGCTTCCACATAGACTTGGGCCCGTGTGCACGTACATCCCCGCTGGGGAGGGGAGGGGAGCTGGATCCACAGGGAAGCGATCCCCTTTATTGAACCCCGCTATGCCAAAGGGGAGGGGAGCTATCCCCTGCCCTTTGGCATAGCGGGGAAGGTGTCATTGCGGTAGTCGCATCGCTCACGGCTATCTGAACATCTCGCCAAAAAAGCTATTTTCAGCCATTTTCTGTGTGCTAAATGGCTTTTGGGATGAGATATACAAGAATAGTAATTTCAAGTGCCTTTGTTCCTTTTCTCAGTCTTTTTTTTCTCCTTTCACCCTTTCCGTTGTATCTCCCCCCATCGCTGTCTTCTTCTTTTCCCTATTACTGGTTCTAATGGTTTCTTATACCTGTTACGTGCTGTCGTAGTATAATGTCTTTTCTGAAGTGGTGTGATTCTATTTAGCAGTTTCCTCTCAATTATGTTATGGCTTACTTTTCTCATAGAAGAATTCATGAGTGTGCAGTTTTGCAGTTTCTTTTTTTTTCAACGCTTGCTAGCCATTTCTTTGCGGTTCTCTTTCGCTGCCACAAATTCGGTATTTGATTCCAGGGATATCGATCGGGCGGATCCTGGTGGGGATCCCTTCCCCTCCCCTCCCCGTATGCACGAATGTAGCTCAACAGCGCGGGGGAGGGGATCGACTCCCTTGCAACGGAGTAGGGGTTCGATGGTGTAGATCATGCCAGAGAAGCGAATATTCTGGTTTTAAACAACTATTACCAAGCAATTCGTTCAATTTGATGAAAGATTTCCTTTGAAAGCCGGATTCCCCTCTTAGCGACCTGTAGCTTGCAATCGTCTCTCTTCTAAATTCCCCTCTTGATAAGAAACCCAAGTATTAGCTGCCATTCTCGAATATTCGTAGGAATTCTTGATTATTCAAGAAATCTGCGCATTTTTCAAATGACATAATATTATAGTTTTAGCCAGATAGGCTGATTAGATACATTGTAACTATCGTATTACATGATATATTGCTCCTACCTTCTCAGACAATCGCCGGGGGCAGGCGGGCACCGGAAAAATAGATTGCTGATCTCTCGCACCCCGCTTGCGGATTTTTTGCAAAGCAATCAGGACTTTTCGGAAGACCGCTTGCTGAATTCTCGATTTCTCAGAGATTCAGCAATATATCTGCAAAAGATAAAAGCGAAAAAAAAATTCAACAGGCGGTCTCTCAAAAATCCGCTGACTCAGCAAGCGGTCTTCGGAAAAGTCCTGATTGCTTTGCAAAAAATCCGCGAGCGGGGCGCGAGAAATCAGCAATCTATTTTTCCGGTGCCCGCCTGCCCCCAGTGATTGTCTGAGTTGTTACTTTAACATAAGCTGCTTTGCAAAAATCTAGAAAATAACAGATTTGCCTAATTCTGAGTAGTGATCCCCTGGGGAGTGATCCCTTCCCCAGCATTCCTCTCGTGCATAGCAGGGATGGCCGTTGGGGTTATTCCCTTGGAGGAATGGACGGCATGTCGCTAATAGCTACAGCTTCCATGAAAAGCTAGCACGATTTGCAATTTCTTTTATGTGTGGAAATTCTAGTTTGATTGTCTGCGGCACCCTCCCCCCCCCCCCCTTTACGGCAGCATAACATATTCTACTCATTCACTGTGTTAACATCATGACTTCTAATTTTGGACACTTTTACGCTGAAATGTGCAGCATTAGCGAAAGTGAGCCACATCCTTGAAAACAGCAAAAATATATTGTGCGTAGGAAATTTTTTTTGCTGACGAGCGATGGTATTCCGCAACGAGTATAATATTGCCGATGACATGCTGGAGGCGAGTAGCTACCAAAAGATGAGAAAAGAGGAGTGATTACCACAAAAAGCGGAAGCGAAATGATTCCCCCGCTCGATTCCCCCTTCTGCATAAGGGGGTTCCCTTTCCCTACTTCCAGGGGATCCCCTTTCCGGTATTGCTTTTGTGCATACGGGGGTTCGCGTGGGGAAGGGAAGGGAGCCCCAGCGGGGATCATTTCAAAAAATAAGCGCACATCCCCTCCCCGCGGGGATGTACGTGCATACGGGCCTTAGTTGACGTCATATAGTTCCCGCGGTAAGGCGAGGGCCTAATTGCACATTGGATTTTCACCGACCTTACCAAGGTGACGATGGGCTGCGAACGAAACGGCAGCGAGGTGGGATGATCACTACCGGCCCTGCAGTCTAGTCAGTTTAAAGGTTAGTAAAATGCCTCTGCGGGCTCAGTGCGTTACGTAGAATGATCTCGGAGCGCAGAATTAAGAGATAGGCGCTGTACTACCACTTTTTACATGTAAGCGTTGTCAATACTGCAAGAATGGCAGTTTTCTCCTCACTATGTTTGTCTACACTAGGTGCACTATAGTGAATGTCAGTTCAACTAGTCTATATATGGTACTAGCTGGCTTACCCGGCTTTGCCGTATGTTCCGAACAGAAAATTCCATTTCTTAACCGATCCGGACCAACTTGGCACACATACACTTCGGGCCCCGGCGGGTGTCATAGGCTACTTTTCGTATCGATCGATATCGATTTTATCGATTTTTTGCAAAATTTGAGCTACGGGGCTGGGAGTCGGCACAGGGGGGTAAGTGAGCATGGGGAGATTCCGAATACAATATTAGTTTTTAAAATCGTGCATTATTTTTATCGATTTTATCGATTTTTTGCAAAATTTGAGCTGCGGGGCTGGAATTTGGCAGAGGGGTGTAATCGAGCATGCTGATCTCGATTACCCTCTGTGCCAACTCCCAGCCCCGCAGCTCAAATTTTGCAAAAAATCGATAAAATCGACATCGATCGATAACGAAAAGTGGTCTGTGACACCCGCCGGGGCCCGAAGTGTATGTGTGCCAAGTTGGTCCCGATCGGTTCAGAAATGGAATTTTGTATTCGGAACATACGTACATACAGACATACATACAGACAACATACAAACAGACATCCAGCTTTATATATAAGATGCTTTTCAAGCACTGGATCCATGCTTGCGCTATCAACTGCAAATGGTAGAACACTTAGCGAATGCTTCTTCTTGTACTGGAACATGAAGCGACAAATTTTTCTAGAAGGTTCTACGATGTCACGACTGTTTGGCGATCAGGTTCTGTTCGTCTGTACTTTATTTCTGCATATAAATCGCATTATCCAGGTTACCATACAAACTCGCAATATCGAAAAAGTGTTGTCGGACTGCTTTCCCACTGAGACATTCCATAAATGTAATCGACGACTCACGGTGCCTGCTTTAGATATCTCTATGGCACCAGCTCGTTTACATATTTTTAGGTAGTAATGTCTATCACATTTCTGCTGAAATGATTATTTTATCGATTTACAGAAATTACTCGTTTAAGCGGCCGTTTGGCGCACGTCTGGACGATGAACAAGACGTGATGTTCAAAGAAGCCGCACGAGCTAGCAGGTTTGTATCTGATCTCACATCGCTTAATTCGTTCCATTAAGGTTGTTCATTTAGTGCTGCGCCAACATATTTCGAACCGTTTGAATATCAAGGCAAAAGGTTTGTCGATGGGTCTTTTGTAGCAAACTATCCGCTGAATATACTCTTTAAGGTGAGTGGGAATACCTCTATACAATTGTTCTTATTTCGCTGTATCATCTGAACTGTCACTATTGAGATTTGCAGTATAGCAAGTTGGTGTAGATTGATCCATAAGTTGGAGAAACATGAAAACCATGACCGCTGAAACACATTCTAAACATGCAATAATCTGGACACTGCCTTAGCAGTGCAAACTGAGAAAGTAATGCCAATTAGAAAGCCTATCATGGACGACCGTATTTTTGGCATTGTTTTCAACAAAAAAGTTTTGGACACACACACACACACACACACACACACACACACACACACACACACACACACACACACACACACACACACACACACACACACACACACACACACACACACACACACACACACACACACACACACACACACACACACACACACACACACACACACACACACACACACACACACACACACACACACACACACACACACACACACACACACACACACACACACACACACACACACACACACACACACACACACACACACACACACACACACACACACACACACACACACACACACACACACACACACACACACACACACACACACACACACACACACACACACACACACACACACACACACACACAAGTTTAGGGCATCCGAAAAATCGTGACCATGGCGCGACCGTTTCTATCTCTACACGAATAGTTTTTCTGCTTATATTTGACAGTATTCAGATAATGGAAGTGACTGAGCTGAGCGTTGAGTTGTCGCCTGTTTGTATGGGTGTATTATGCTCCTGTGTGCGCAAAGACCGCAGTCAACTCGTCGTCACGATTTCAAAATGAGCCATAAAACCTAAACAACCTTAAAACGCAATTAGCTTTGACTTATCAGACTTTGGTGCCGCGTGTTATCGATTTGACTTAACTTTGAGTTAACTTCATAAAGAGGCCCCGAAATGCAGAAAGAGTATGATATTCGTAATCAGCACGTCAGAAAACCCCCCTGCACCAAAATTCAGCCAAATTCGTGATTGGGACCCCCTACTCTATACCCACCGTAGTCCAACCGAATGACGTTTTTGTGAAAAAAAAGAATGTGACATTCATAATCAGCATGTCGAATAAACCTCACAGACCGAATTTTGGCGAAATTCGCAACCTTGAAATTTTGGTCCCGTGTGTGTCTATATTGACGTACATAAAACCATTTGCAGCTATCCAAACGATACTTTCATAAAGATTTTTTATAAGATTTAGGTTGCAGCATTTTTAGGAAGTCGACTCATTCCATAAGAATAATAACCGGATCCACTTAGCGGGTGTGGTATCAATAGGAACTGGTGAACCAGCCCAATTAGAACGAAAGTATAAAAGTGGGACTACTTTGAGAGCAAAGGCAAGAAGTATGGCTCATCTGAGCACTCTCATCCTTGAACAGGTAACAGCCTTACATTGTATTTTAATATGCACTTTTTTGTGAAAGTTACTTATTTGAGGTTGTCGGACAAGATCTCTTAGCTGTCGAGATGGCTGAAGAGCGCTGTCAGGCATATAACATACCATTCATTCGTATAAGCCCAAAAGTGAGGAGGTTATGCTTAAAGAGACATTACTTTGCGTCCTAACATTCGGCTTGCAGGGCATCAGAGAGCGTATCGATCAAATCGACGACAGCAAGCTCATGGATATGATTTGGACAACTCTAATGTGGCTGGTATGTAGAGCTCTGAAAACGGGAATAGGGAGAGGTGGTGTAGAGCTAGCTGGGGGGATGAAGTTGAAAGGCAAAAGTATTAGGGCGTCGAAAAATAATGGGACGCTTGGAGAATCACTACAGATTTCTTAAGAAAGAGAACTCATTAGATGCTCCAGTTTTGATAGATGTTAGAACATATTATTCTCCTTCAACCAATATCTATGAGAGCATTTTCATTTTTGATGATTTTTCAATTATTGAAGTGCAAAGTCAATCACTAGGGTCAGCAGGAGGTGTGGCACAAAAGCGTCGTATACGACCTCCCCCATCTATCTTCTTTCTCAATACCCCCCCCCCCCATCTT